CCCGCCTGACGGTCCCGGGCTAAACGGTCCCGGGCTCGTGGGCTCAAATATGAAGACCGGCCTGTGAAGGGCTTAGGAGGACCACCAGGACCGGCCCACCAGGCCCACCAGGCCCGTTAGGACCACGGGCCCGGTCCGGTCCGGTTCAGGCCCGGCCCACCGAGCAGCCCTACACCCAGGGGCGAATTGGACCCGTAACTTTTATCCTAGACCTGAATTTCCAGTATAAAATTCATTAAAATTGCTGAAAAAATTGAGATATGAACCCATAACTCAAACAAGGTGATATATGGTTCAGACTTCAGTGGTTCCGCTAAGGGGCTTTTGTTTTTGGAACAGACGACAGTATTTTGCTGACGCCTCGAATCAAGCTTTTATTGTGATATGCTATGCTTTAATTTCTCCCCATTATTAGTAGGTTGATGGGTCGCCCGCTTGAAATCGAAATCAGGAATATGTTGTTCTCATGTTATCACGGGAACAAAAATTGGATATCTTTTTAGCTTAGAGTAGATCCATACATGATAAAAAGGAATTAAAAGATAAGAGATAGAGGTCAATGGTGGATTTTGAAACCTTGTATTTTGGTGACTAAACGTGGAGTTCTATTATTAGTGTTAGATTTAGATTGTAATCAATCCACGAAACACAAAAATACACTGCCAAGATGACTTCCTCTTATTTTACTTATTTTGGTCATACAAAAAACCCTGAGCTCAGCAGACAACGTTTTATTAGAGCAGAGGCGGCGGACCCAGGATTCGACGATCGCGGGGACATCATAACATTTAATTAAATTTATTATTGTTCATAAATATTGATACGGGAATCTATACTAATATTTGACTATTTTTTAAAGACATTTGCAAGTATACATAAAATTTTTGCCGAAGTTTTCGGATGCTGATAATCCCAGATCACTCACAATTACAAACCATACACAAAGAGTACAGTGGCGGGTGGCTGATGTAAAATTTTGCACAACTGGTGTTTATTTATTGTTATTATTCGGTTTGCAACTGTATTTGAATCTCGAGATTATGTTAATTTTTAGATTCTATATCATGATATAAACTAAAATTCATTTTTCTAATTTTCAAACATTGTTACCCTATTTTGTGCGTGTATATAAGGGTACGTAAACATAGATCTTCTATGACAATTCATTCGAACTCAAATAGATTTGATATGAAGTACAGATATGTATATGTGAAAATTGATCAAATTTTCAGCAACATTTAATTTTACCAACTCATAATTTTAGAAGTTTAATGTTGAAAACTTAAAAATGTAACCATAATATTTAAATCCTAGACTGCATCTATATACACATATTAATTTTGAACAAAATATTATTTATAAACACACGTATAAAAAAAAATTCTCTTTTTTGCCAAGTAGTGCCAAACGACAATCCTTACTAAAAAGTGTATGATGCACAAACTTTGTCGCTACACATGCATTGGTTTGTTAGCTCTGTACTTAATAAAAATGTATATTTTTTCGTGAAGGATTGCGTATAGGTGTTCGTAAAACGCAGCGGAAGACAATAATAATTCTAGACAGATCTTTTTGTGTTTAAACTTTATTTACATGTCAAATATCGGATCTAAGACGTACCTGGTGAAGAGAGTCTTGTTTCAAAATTTCTTCGATAGTGCGAAGACTGTATGCGTATCCACACCGAGACAGATCCTTGCTATCAACTCTTTGATTAATGAAACCCGCTAACAAATTGAACAAAGAATATTGTGTTGAAATTTTTCTCAAAAATCTCAACTCAAATTAGAAGAACAAGAAACACTTTTC